TTCCCTCCCCACCCGCCCCCACCCCCAACAAGGTTGACATCGGGTTCAAATCCTTTGTTGCTGCTGCTGCCTCTGTGACACCCCCAGGATGGAGCAGAGCAGGGGCGCCCCCAGTCCCTCGAGATGCCCCAGAAGCAGCTTTCAGAGCCTCTCCTCCCTCCTCTACTCAGAGGGGAAAAAAAAAGAATCAAAAGTAATTGCCCAAGGAAATGTTGGGTGTGGCCATCTTTTTAAATGGTTTTAAAAATATTTTATTGTTACGAGCCCACCCATCAATTTGGAAAGATGAAATTTGCTCTTTTGCCCCGTCACTGATTTTGAAGTCCCGAGCCAGAGCCGAGCGACAAAAGCAGGTTAAGTGATTAACCGATGAACCGGTCTGTGAGGAGCAGCTGGGGGAGGGCAGAGGGCGAAGGGCCAGATCATTATTCTTTTTTTTTCCACACTCTCTCCTCTCCACGATTATTGACCGCCCCGGGGGCCTGATCACAAACCCTGCTTGGCCAGGGAGGCGGACACTTCGTCGGCTAGCGTGGCGAGCTGGGGCGAGTCTACCATGTCGATGCTGCCCGTGGAGGACACGTTGCTGAGGTGCCGCGGAGACGTGTCCCCGGACACCACGGGCGACTTGTACACGATCTCCGCCCCGTGGTCGGTCTTGGCTTTGGCATTCTCGCGGAAGGTCAGCTTGTGGGTTTCGATCTGCAAGAGAGGAGGCGAGGGAAGGCGAGTGAAGCCACAGAAAGGCGGGCAAGCCCGGCCTGCCCACGGGCCCGGGGTGGGAGGGAGCCGTGGTGGTGGCGGTGGGGGCTGTGTGTCACCTTCCCGGAGGGGGCACCTGCGCACGGCTCCCGCGTCACCTGCCTGCCGGCCACCCGCTTCCCTTCTCCGGATGCAGTGACCGGCGTTCGCTTCTTGTGTGTCCTTCCAGAGATGCCCCCACGTGCGCAAGCCCGTGGGATGTATGAAGTGTGTCCGTATATTTAATACACACGGTGACAGTGTCCACATGCTTTACGCTTCGGCGTTTCGACCTGATACCTTCCTTTATCGGCACCCGCTTTCCCCGATGCGTGCTGCCGGCGGCGAGGATTCCGTCGCCCTGTACCAAAACGCACCTGCTCCCCAGGCGCGGGTCTCCGCGCTGTCCCCGCCTTTGCCTGTCACAAACAGCGCCGTGTCTGAATACCCGCGTGTGCACAGCATTTCACACGCGGGGAAATGTATCCTCGGAGCGGAACGGCTGGTGGGTCAAAAGGCATGTGCGCTTGATTTATAGATACTAACAAGTTGCACCTGAAAGCGTGAAGGATGGGGCGCCTGGGTGACTCAGTCGGTGAAGCG